ATTTTCGACTTCTTGTTAAAAACTGTAAGTCCGATTGCTTTGATACTATTCATATTGTTCATTTTCTAATGATGTCTTCAGTTCTTTAATTGAAATGTGCATTGCTAACAGCGGAGCTATCTCAGCCGATAGGTTGCTTGTTTGTCTCATCTGATTTAAATTTAGCATCAACAAAGTTTACCGGTAGTACAGTCCATATGGACTTAATTTTGTTTTTCCTATCTCAAAGATGATCTGACAGGCCATTATGTTTATAAAAATGAATTATTGTATCTAATGGCATTCGCTGGCCTTTGTGAAAAATTGCACATAGATGAGACATTATAGAGTACGGATACTGTATATATATTACATAATTTTGTCACTTTTCTTACCTTGCACACAAAAAATCTACATAGTTTTTTTAGTTCCTGTTCGGACAAAGCCCAGAAAGATGTCATGTACTTTGAATGGATTTGTTAGAATTCGGTAATACTTTAAGTATTGTGGGACCTTGACGCCCATCATTTTTCAGATCAGATTCAAAATGGTCAAATGGAAAGCATTTTATTTTAATGATTGTTGTGCCGGAAACATTTCTTTGACATGCTATGTTGTTTAAATTTCTGTTGAAAACATGGAGATATGGATGATAATTATATCGCTTAATTTAGTATGACTCGGTACATATCTAAGTGTTGAGACAGTAATAATTGTCAATGTCAATATTTTCCACTACAAGTAGTGGTAGATTTGCATATTAATTTATATTTTGATCAAAATGAATAAGATCACACATCCACCATGTTTGCACTTTTTTTGTGTGTGTTTTATTGTGTCCAAAACAGGAAAGCAGTATATCACAGTCCTGCTAACTTCTGGTGTTGTTTTCTAGATGAGAGTGAAATAAGATTTGATCATGACACCACATTGGATGAACTGAACTTCAGCTTGGATTCTGGTTCAGAGAATAGTGATGATGATAGATTTGATGAGATGCTCATGTGTGCACCCACTGCTTTACAAGAAAATCTACAAGAATTAAGGTGAGTGTATATTTTTATTTTTGTATGAAGTAATCCGTTTTTGAGTGAAAACAAGAATTTACACAGTAGTTTTATACTCCCCCCTGAGTTCATAATAGTCAACCCTCATGCAATGTAATGTATGCCCAGTATTTGCGAGTTATTGAAGAAGCCTCTAAACCATAACAAATACTTGGGGAACAAAGGCGGAATGGAAAGCAAATATTTGCAGAGGAAATAAATCATGCTGAACAAATTGCACGGATCATCAACAAAAAATAAATATATATACCGGTATAAATCTAAAAAAAAAAATATGTAAAATAAAATATTTTCAGTTTTTCTGCCAGTGTAGTTTCTAATTGTCTACTCCTATATCAATGACATTGAGCTAAACTTACATTCACTACTCCTTTAAGTTTGCATATGTATTTTCTCTTGAAAATCATGTCATTACCTGTTGTGCAAATACAAATAAATATCAAAATACAATAGTTGATTACTATTACCTGCCTTAGATTTGTTCATTTTGTGATGATGATATCTTTAGTTCTCTAATTTTGATGAATATTTTTTGGTAAAAAGTGATATTTTCATTACTCGTTGTACTAATACAAACAAGTATCAAAATACAATAGTTGATTACTATTACCTCCATCAGATT